CAGTATACCCGTCCTACTATAAGGCACCGAAGTCAACTTCTGATGCTGTCCGAATGGATGGTGGAAGCAGAAGAAGAGGAAGACCTCCATTCCATTCGAAGAATCAGATAGAGAGTGACCTGGTTTCACTTGGTATTTCCAAATGTCGTCAAACAGCAAAAAGAGGGGATGAATGACGTGCTAATATTGTTTCGGCTAAAATCACGTAAGCCGTGCAAACGCCAATAAAGAAGAAGAAAGAAATCGTCACATGCGGCTTTAACGACTTTTGGGTTGTTCAGTATCTAATTTTGAAGCCTCCTCTAGTCTTTTAAACTACGTAGCTCCAGGATATCAAAAGTGAGTTCTGGCTAATGCTGGGCAGAAACAGAGAAGGTTTTCTAACGTTCCACTCACACATTCCCCTCTCCATTTTCTACATTGTCCCTTTTGCTTGCATGGGTTGCCAGTAAGTTGTGCCTTTTCCTCAGGTATACTACTAATCTGCAGTCCTTACGTAATCGTGGAAGCAAGAAATGCATAATCCCTTTGCTGCTATTTTACTTGATCTTGGTGCGGTCCGTCACCCAGCTGCCTCGGAAATTTTAGATCCACCTTTTAGTGATTTTTGTTTGTCCTACACTGATTGGCTAACAAGGTGGATGGCACTTTTGGTATACTCATCAGCTATTTCATTACCTATACTGCCCTTGTGGCCGGGACGTTTACCCTCGCCTACCCTCTTTACTGCTTCCGTGCTTCTGAGAACGCTCAATACGATGTGAGATTATTGCCTTGATTGTCACCTGGCTGTCGACATGCATACATATATGTATACTAATATTTAGTGTATGGTTTTCTGTGTTGCTAACTTTCTCACAAGCTTTCCGTATAGCGTAGGTTTGAGGCTGAAAAGTACCGCAGTACCGTACACTGAAAGCTTGAAGGGTTGCCTGAGGTCTAGCTCAGCGCATTAAGCCCCGCACTCACTCCAGCAACCTTTTTTTATCCATCGGTGTAGATATTGTACGTGCCACAGGAGGGTCGAATGTTCACGTGTCTTGAACGTAGTAGCTTAGCTTGAAACCCTCTTTCCGAGGCAAAGCATAGGGCTAAGCGGTCTATTTTGTCCTCCATCATCGTGTACAGCAATCTCATCAAATCACAATTTAAAATCCTTTTATATAGTTAGGACTTTTTTGAATCATTCGGTCTTTAAGGAAAAGTAGTCTTACACCTAGAAAGAGCAAAGAGCCACCTAAGTACCGAATCTCAAGTAAATCGGTTAATAAATAAAATAAATTTATTTTCGTATATGTCAACCTTCCCAGAAACCGTAGAAAGGATTTGACTAAATCTCAAGTCAATGGTTCGGTAACTTTTGGCTATTACGGGAGATCTACATACATGTAATGAAACTCGCTACAAATTAAAGAACAAATTTTCAAGATTTTTAATACTTTTACAAAAAAGCAACAAAAAAATGTAATAAGAGTGTATACATTCCATTACAATTGTGTCAAAAGAACGAATTAATTTAATAATTTCAACACACACGAAAAAAATGTCAACTGTCAGAAGCAAAACTTTGCCTTTTCGACCAGAAAACCGCAAAACAAATTGTCGCTGTTAAGAGCAACCGACGAGTCCAAATGTAACTGTTCATAACAGCCAGCTAAAAGTCAGCTAAAAAAATAACATAAAATAAAATAAAACAACAAAACGTCTGTATGTAATTAATAATTACAAAACAGAAATTACTAACTTTTTCCTCAGTTTATTATGTTTCTGCGTGAGCTAATGAATTAGAATAAAATATTATTTTAAATTTTTTTTCTCTAACCACTTACTTTATTAGAGCCACATGTTGGCTAATTCCAGCATAACAATCATATTTGCAAATATTTACTCATTTTTTTTTTGTGTTTTAACACACACAGTTCATGCACGACTACACCGCAAAGCCTAAAATACGGAGTTAGGCAGTTTTGGGTGCTAAGCAGTGGATTTTCGGAATTCTCTAGTTTCAATCCAGACAAAACCGCAATAAATAAAATATATTTGTGTGAAATAAACATTTTTGGTAAAATAAATATGTAGGAATGTATGTAAATGAGAGTCTGAATATAGTTCATGCAATAGTATTTATACTGGAACTGAAGTTATGGCTCATTCATTTGCTTATGAGGCGGACAGGAGATGTTTATCTTTCAAATTTCATGCAAATGGAACCAAAAACTTTATTATTTCAGATAGATCAGTTTCCAAAATAATTTCTCCATACGTTGGTATGGGTACAGAGCCATCTATATTCACTTCAACATAACCTAATCTGGAAATCATATCAACAACTATTGTCAAATCAGTTATGATGAGACGAACCATCTCTGTATGTCTTTCCTCCCGTCCATGTTTTAGTAAGCTCACAAATTGAAAACAGATCGAGCAACAGCTACGCCTTTGTCATAAGTAAAGTTTTGAATCGACAGAAATCCCTCTTTCAATCGAACTGAATGAACCTGTAGTCGTGATGAACAAATTAACAAAACGAGTCCTCTTGACCATCCGTGTACTCGCATAAAATCTGCAACTTGACTGAAATTATTGGCTGTAAAAACAGGTCCATGTACCTCATCAATTTGAGTTTTACAGGCTTTTTTGGTCAATTCTACACCAGCAAAATCAAACAAATGGAATGTAAATCACTTGTTGCGAGGACCGGAGTCTAAGGTGAATGCATAAGAAACTCCCAGGCAAGCCATCCGCGAGTCACTAGCGATGTGTTGTCTTGGGCGAATAAAAATTAAGAGTTTGTAGAGAAGCAGTTCATATTGAACGATTTCTTGTCAATTCCACCATGCACACAACAAAACCTTCCCCGCGGTCAAACCAAGCTTGGAGACCGTTTATGCTGGCTCACTGCATTTCGAGCATGTCATCATCAGTCGCCATCCGTTTTAGAAATGCCTCGTTAACTTGTACATAGAGCTTCTTTGTGTATCCAGCCTTTTTCAAAAAGATACACTATTATATAATGGATTACTTTTTACTACTACAACATTTTACTACTAATACTTTTTGCTTCTAGTACTTTTTGCTACTACTATTTTTTCTAACGCTATTTTTTCTAATTCTTTACTACTACTACGTTTTACTAATACTACTTGTTACTAATAGTACTTTTTACTATACGTTTTTTAATACCACTACTTTTTACTGCTACTACTTTTCCTTAGTACTATTTTTACTACTACTACTTTTTACTACCAGTACTTTTTACTACTACTACTTTTTCTAACGTTTTTTTTTTTAATACTATTCTTTACTACTACTACGTTTTACTAATACTACTTGTTACTAATAGTATATTTTACTATTACTTTTTTTAATACTACTACTTTTTACTACTACTACTTTTGCATAATACTACTATTTACTACAACTACTTTTTTTTAATGCTATTTGTCACTACTACTACTCTTTACTACTAATACTTTTTACTACTACAACATTTCACTACTAATACTTTTTGCTTCTAGTACTTCTTACTACTACTATTTTTTCTAACGCTACTTTTTCCTAATACTATTCTTTACTACTACTGCTTTTTAATATTACTACTTGTTACTAATAGTACTTTTTACAACTACTACCTTTTATTAATACTACTTTTCTTCAATACTGTCTTTTACTTCTACTAAATTTTACTACTACTACTATTTACTACCAGTACTTTTTACTACTACTACTTTTTCTAACGTTTTTTTTAATACTATTCATTACTACTACGACGTTTTACTAATACTACTTGTTACTAATAGTATATTTTACTAGTACTTTTTTTAATACTACTATTTTTTACTACTACTACTTTTCCATAATACTACTATTTACTACAACTACTTTTCTTTAATGCTATTTGTCACTACTACTACTTTTTACTACTAGTACTTTTTACTACTACTACTTTTTCTAACGCTACTTTTTTCTACTACTATTCTTTACTACTACTACGTATTACTAATAGTACTTTTTACTATTACTTTTATTTAATACTACTACTTTTTACTACTACTACTTTTCCTTAATACTATTTTTACTACTACTACTTTTTACTACCAGTACTTTCTACTACCACTACTTTTTCTAACGCTATTTTTTTCTACTACTATTCTTTACTACGTTTTACTAATACTACGTTTTACTAATACTACTTGTTACTAATAGTATATTTTTTTTTAAACTACTACTTTTTACTACTACTACTTTTCCGTAATACTACTATTTACTATTGCCACTTTTCCTAATACTACTTTTATTACTACTACTTCTTACTAACACAATTTTTACATTACTATTTTTTACTAATACTACTTTTTGTTACTTCGTTACTAATACTTCACTTTACTAGTACTACCTTTAACCACTACTGTATTTTGTTACTATTTTAACAAAAAAGAGCAAATCGTACCATTTCATCCTGACTAAGACCAACAAATTTGTATTAGTTCAAATTTAATATCTATAGCTATAATCATGATATCAAATTGTTAATCAATAAGTATTTTGACAATTGTAATTTAAAGTCAAAATTGCTAGAATTTTTTACATCAATGGCCAATTAAAGTCGTCCCCTTTTTTTTTTTTTTTTTTTTTTGGAAATATGTTTTCATAACTTTGCACCTCAATTATTTTCCACTTAACTGAACTCATTCAAACGTGTCGAATGGCCAATTAAATTAATTTAACACACATTTAATTAAATGCCCACACATTATCGTCCCTACCATTGGCCATTTGACATGCCTCAACCAGCGTGACATACAAATGTGACGTGCAAAAAACCAAAATCATGTAGCAACGCACGCAATGCCAATTTCTCTCGTTTTCCAACCCACTCCCCACAAGAACAGAACACAACACAATTGAAACAAACCACAACAAAAAACAAGGCTTCCAAAAAACAATACCAAAAATAAAATATTTCAACTGATTTTTTCCTCAATCATCTTTCACCACAGATATCCACAACAACAATGGCGGTGGTGGCAGCAGCAGTAGCAGTAGTAGTGGTGGTGGTGGTGGTGGTGGTCTTGGTGGAATCAAAGCATCATCCGCAGCAGCAACGGCAACTTCCATGGCGGCAGTCGTAGCCGCCTCAGTGGCGTCAACCACATCCTCGCCCGCGTCAGTAAGTCATCTCGGACATCACCATCATCACACACATCATCATCACCATCATCCGAACAATGGCCTTTTGGCTGCAGCCAGTTTGGGTGGCATGGGCGGCCTGGGCATACCGGTAAGCTGTGCCGGTTTACGTGGTGTGGCGAGTGGTCTCAGTGGCTTGACCACAACTGTTGGTGTTGGTGTGGGCATTGGTAGCGGTGGCAGTTCGAGTGGTAGCAATAGTAGTGGTGGCCTTCTGAATGCACTGAGTCTACCGCCTGGGCATGTGCCAGATATTTGCCCAATCTGTGGTGTTAAAATTTCGGCTGAAGAATGGAATTCACACTTTTTAACCGAATTAGATCGGCTCTACAAATTGAGCTCGGGCATGGAACGTACGAATTTACAGGCATCCTATATGTTTGCGCCGCCATGTCCGGCGCAAGAGAACGCCATACGCACCAGCCACAATCGTTGGGAGGTGAGTGTAATTTGATTGAGGCGCAATTCATGTTGTATGTGTCGGATGATTTGTGTTTTACTTATCCTCATATGTATGTGTATTGCTACTTTCAGACTTTCCAAAGGATACGCAATAATAGACAAAATCGCTTAAGAATAAAAGGTCGAAAACGAAAATATGGCAACGATCTGTACTTCATGGAGAATCTCTTCTGCAATTCATGTCCGATTTGCAAACGAAAATATGCAATTGAAACTGGCAAGATGCCACCCGAGGTGAGTTGAAGCATTGGATTGAACTGGTATATTGGTTAGGTCTAATTGTATAAATATAATATAAGGTTTTGGATTTATGTTTGTTAGACAACAATAGAAAAAGTCGATCCACACATAACCAAAAATTGTAAGCACATGAGAAACAGGAAAAATCCGGTTTCGGTTGGTCGAGAGAGGACTTTATGGCACAGAGGTTGCTCCATCGATGTAAAGATAATCTGTACTGATTCTTCCCTTAAGGTCTTTTCTAAGGTTTATTACATGGGGAATATCTGGTCAATGGTGGATTTACTGGGTGCAATCAGCTTGTTGGCCATGTGCTTTAGTCTTTCACATATTGCGTTCAAGGGCACCTTATATACAATATTTATGAGACTAGCCCCACAATAAATGGCGCAAACCGGATTGGGCAGGGCACTCTGAAGTTCCGCACGTGTTGTGATCGATTACAAGGTTTGGAGGTAGGCAACCGGCTTTCTCTAAACTGCCGAAAACCAATTGTTGGGAGTTTGAGATGCCGTCCCACAGTTCCCTTATATCGGAACAGGAGTTGTTGACAATCTTTTTTAGATACATAGAAGCGCGTGCATATCTTTGCTGCGGCGGGATAGAGGTTCGATTCTATATTGTACTGAAATCTAGTACTACAGACAACCATATTTCGGGCTCCGGCGATGTCGATAAGCTTCAACCCATTAGTGGCTGATTCGTCGTGGAGGCTGAATTTTCCGACAGTTAGGCCGATGCCACCTTCTTTGCCTACAATGGGTTAAAGTCGCGAAGGACGACGGGGGCAGCGCTGTTTAGTATGCTTCAGACGCTCTCAATGGGCATCCTTGGTAACATAGTTCTTCTATTCCATCGAGGTATCAGCGATGTGTAGAATAATTTCTTCTTAATGCGAGTTTTGGCGAGTTGTTCATCCACCGAAGTGGCGATGGAGTCTCTATTTCACCACAAATCTGTCACCAACCTTGTCCTCTCTATATCGCCGCTGTAATAAATATAGCAAGGGTCTATTCGCTTGTGTAGTCCCTCGTACTTCTTGGACGACGGCGGTGATGTCAACCTTTAATCTTTCAAGGACTTCAAATAGCTGGACAGCAGCACCTTTAAGGGACCGAACATATCACGAAAGATATTCCTTGCAAATTGTAAAATCCAAACTAGTAGTACCACGCCGGATCAGAAAGATCCTGCAGTTGTAATATAAACAAATATATAATATATGTAAGACCCTGAAATATATCGCCGGGCTGCTAACAATGAAGTCTCAAAGCATGCGTAGATTTCAATAACAAAATAAAAGCGAGGAACCGACAGTTTATTCTAAGTCATCTCCCAACGGCTAATGGGTTCTTAAGCGGAAATTTTCTTTCAAGTCAGATATAAGTTCGCAGGGGTTGCCAGCTAAGTGTTCATATTTATAAGAATTTTATTGATACATGTGGGCTTTGATCTTAGAAGAACAATTTTGAAAACCAATTTCTCTTCGGAATGTCCACAACGATCTTCAATCCAAAACCGAGTAGTGCCTTATTGTGTAAAAGATGATCTCTCCTCACAAGCTCTTAACTTCAAAGTATTCTCTTTATGGTTCCTAGCTAAATTCCATCTCCAATAAAATGTATTTTACAGGAGGACGTTAAAATGCAAGAAGAGATCGAAACGGTTGACGTTGAGAGTTGCAATGATGATGTCCCCGATTCCGGCTCTGAACTGGCAACACACTCCGCACTCGGTGCGAGCAGTCTGAGCCACGGACATCACGGCAACATGAGCAATGCGACATTAAGCAGCAACATGCATAGCAATAATAATCAACCAGGAAAGTTAGACGGCATCTTGTACCGCACAGCGCGCGATACAGGTGGCAACGAAGATGATTTAAATGCTACAAGTACCAGTGGTAGTGGCGGTGGAGGAGGCGGAGGCGGAGGCGGTGGTATGGCACAAAATTGGAGTCAAACACAACATCACACAGCTGCGACAATTACAACGCAGCAAGGACATATCAGCGGTGAGTGGATTTAATGAGTGAAATGTAAACATATAAATAAGGATTTAAAATTTAGAATTTAGAATGCATACGCACAAAAATACATATAAATATATATTTTCTCAACTTAATGCAAGCCAAATATACATATACATATAAGTATTTAAAATCGCCTGTATTCTCATTAACTTTTGGAAACCTCTCCCTTTCCCATACCAACAATTACAGTGAAAAATGTCAGCGAACTGTCATCGACAACTCATCACTTCTACAACGCGGACTCGTGCGGTGCTGTTGAAGAGCGCGCCAGTGGCGGTGGCAATTGTAATGGCAAGGATGTTGCGATGGATACGTGCAATGCCAACGACAGCGATGAGGATGTGATTGTGGATGATGATGATTCCATTAAAATGACGAATCTCTGCAGCAGCAAGAAGCGAAAGTATGAGGAGACTGTGGTTAGTAGCAGGTGTGTAAGGGCAGCGGAGGTGAAACTTCGGTGACATATTTTTTTTTGAAATACATTTTTAAAATATTTTTAACATACACGTACATATATGTATGCACATTTATATATGCTCTCTCTCTCTCCCTCTCTCTCTCTTTTTAAGGACATCAGATAACCCATCGCCAATGCTCGAACAGGAGCGTCCACGCTCCGAGCCGCAAGTGACTAGCACAGAGCCAAATATGGAAATAGCTAATAATAATAATAACAACAACAATAACAACAATCCAAAATATAGCACATTCGAAGAGTTGCGCGCTAAACAACAGCAGCAACAACACCAACAAGCTGAACCAAATAATATGCATAGCATGAGTGGCAGAGACGGTGGTGGCCCAAATGCGAACCTAATGCCGCCGGGACACACGCAATTGGACACAAAGGTGGGATTTAGTTCGGAAAATAAGCCGGACGATGAAAACAAATGTTTCATTTGTAAGGTACGAGTCATTTGAGTTTCAGTCTTCCGTCTTCATGAAAAAAATAAAAATAAAAAAAATATAAAAAAAATTAATAAATTCAATGTTGCACTAATCTCTAAAGCTCTTGCTATTCCTTATTATTGTAATATCTATCTACTATTCTATTTTGTACTTCCTTTTGCACTTAACCAATATTACATACATAACCATACATGCATATATGTGTGTATGTATTTAATGTTTTTATACTCACTTAACCACCCAAGCTCATGCGTGTTTCTGTAAAATCGTGTCTTTTACGTTGTATTAATTTGTATGAAAATAATTTCAACAACACAACACATCATTCTGTTCTTCTCTTTAAGACAGGTATAAAGGATTTTGCCACGGAATCCTTTTTTCGCGGTCGCAATTTGTATTTTCATCAGAGTTGTGCCAATGTGATGAGTAGTTATCGTTTAAATAAGGATTTACAACAGCAGCAACAAAACCTGATTCAACAACAGCAACAACATCAGCAGCAACAACAACAACAACAACGGGAAGCGCCAAAATCACCATCACCCCAGCAATTGGTGAATCTTTAAGAATTTATTAAAAACAATCATACCCCAAAACACCGTTATAAATGGAGTAAACTGCATACAAACAAACATTGATTTGCAAACACACTTTAGGGATGTACTTTTGCGCGGCTGAATTTTCTGTATGGGCATAAACATTAACTCGGTCCGCTTTTTTGTGTTCAAAAAAGTGTTTCTATTGTAAAATAGGTAATTCACGGTATTGTTATAAATAATGAGTACTGCTGGCATTCGGAAGGCTCGGGTTCAAATCCCCGTGCGACCAACATCCAAAAGTTAGAGAAAATTACATATAGTTAAATTTTATAATTGCGGTCGCCTCTCGACAGGGAATGTCAACGCCTCCGAGAGTATTTCGGACATGATATAAAGGCTCCTCGTTAAAAAAAAACCATCAGCCGTTCGGAGGCGGCTTAGTATAAACTGTAGGTACCTCTATTTGTTGGAAAAACATCAGGACGCGAAATTCCCGCCGAAAATCGCTTTAGCGGTTACAAAGCACCAACCGCCGATCTCTCAAATCGTTTTGCATACGTCAAAAAAGCTAATAGTTGGAAGGATATGTTAAATACATGTTAGTTGTAGTCGAAAACGTTTCGCTTTTATGGTTTCACCTTATTGGCACGATTCTTAATTCAGTAAAGCTTCCAATTCCTTATCTTCAAACCATTGGAATTGGCTAGAAAGGTCTTTACTTCTTCTTACTTTTAAAGCAGCGAAACCACAATCCGTATGACTTGTCGGTCGGCGCAGGTTTATTATAAACTTCTAACAAGCTTCAGCTGCGCTTTTCTTGCAATTAAAATTTAAAATGAAGACTTTCTTTAAATGCTGTTTATTGAACACAAATCCGAACATTTCGAAGCGGGAAAAAACAATTGGTAGTGCCTCCCGAGTTTCCTTGATTCCCTCTGTACCTGTAAATGCTCATGAAGCCCTTATCTAGCATTCCACTGATTGGTATTCAAAACCTTGCTGTTAAACAGCCAACCACTGCCTACGTGCCATCCCGTCTTTGAGCCTAAATTCTTTTTCATTTCTGCAGACATCAAAGGGATGATGGTTGCATATATGTTGCCGAACGCATTGCTTTCACTATGGTTCGGTACCCAGCTTAGTTTAATCATCTGCTTCGATAATGACAAAAATAAATAAATAAAATAATAACAAAAAGCTTTCGATGGCTTATTAGCTTTTTTGAAAGCTCCCTACAAAATGTTCTTTCCAACATTCTAATTTATCATCAATCCTAGCTGCATGATGCTAGTTTGAAGGCTTTCATCCATACGCACTACTGGCCTAGCCAGCACAACCGTTGTCTTCGTATAACTCTCGTTGTTAATACGCAAAAGTACATCGCTCCCAAAGCCTTTCTCTAGAAAACTCATCGGATATCCTCTTTATCCACGCTTTTGCGGAATATATACACACATATATATATATATATGGTAAGATAGAAATGACTTGTAGAGCTTAGTTTTACTTCGTTCAGATAAGATTTTACCCTTCGAATTTCACCTCAGTTCAAAGCAGTCTGTTCACAAATGATGTGATTTAATCCACTTTCCATAGTGCAAGCCGACTATCTAGTCAAGTGGTAGGTTTACTAGGCCTAAGCCCTCACAATTGATTAGATCAAGCCTTGTATATTTTCTTGAGGAAGCTTCCCATCGTCGGGCATGCTTAAGTCTGATCATATACTACAAAGCAAACATGAGCAACGACTCTTGCCAATTTGTTATTCATAAAGCAAGCAATCACTATTTAAATACCGTCTTAATCGAGTATTGGAATGTCTGTTTCCTTCTCAAATTCCATTTGCATGAATGTCAGTTACCAGATAACCCCCTTGGTTCCTGCATAAGTCTGATCAGGTCTTGAAACCTTCACTAAGATGCAACTTTTAGAGAATTTGAGAACATTACCCTGATCGACCAGCTTTTGAAGCTCTTCATACTCCCACATTTTGGGCTCTCTCTCTTACATTTAGTCTTACGAGGAAGTAGTGGCACCTTTCCAGTCAAGGTACCGAGCATTCGTGGTGCTACCCTTCAATCGTGATAATTAAAAAGCGTCACTTATCCGAGTTTTAATTGCATGATATTTTATTGAAGTCTCAAACACCACAAGCAACTGCGGGAGATAAGCCAACTCACTTTAGCTCGCCTTTAAATGGATTTTTTTTCGCTACCCAGAGGATACTTGGTATAAGATCGGCAGTCGTGAGCTCCTTGAAACATATGAAAAGAAATCGTTTCTGGCCTCTGCCAGGTGAATGGCAGTCAGAAACATTCCTCACATACATGAACTTCTACACGACCCCATCCTCCATCTATAAATAAGTTCAAAACCCACAATTTTAGATAAAAACTGTTGGCAAAAAGTACATCCCTGAGAGCATTACACACTTGTAAGCATATGTAGTACATACAAACATTAGTTAAAGAATTCAAAAAAAAATGTATGAAATCTGTTTGTAAATTTGGCGCTGAAAGTTTTTTAATTATAATTTTAATAATCGAAATTGTATAGTTGATTTTTTCTCAGAAATAAGTATTTTCTTGTTTTAGCAGAGCGTCTAAACGAATTTGAGATCTATTAACATTGTAAAAATTAGCAATAATTTCACTTAAAATTAATATAAAATATAAATGTTTTACCATGATTTTTTTCCAATTTATTTTTTTTTAGAAAAAATATGTAAAATTAATTTATGTTTGCAACTAATTCTAATTAATATTTAAATAATTGTGTGCTATAGTTGTTAAATATATAAGTATATATTATATATAAATCATTAAATTAATGCTGACGACATACTTACTTACATACAAACATATATAAATATTTAGTTTTTAAGCAGAAACTGTATTTAATGAATATGTAATTACATAATTAAAATTATTAAAAGAAAACTAGTGCTAAATAATAAATAAATAAAAAAAACTAACACAATAAAAATCAATTATGAATTCCAATATTTTTTACAATTATTTATTTTCGTGAAACTCTGGTTTGTATGAAAAACTATTGAAATTATGGTGCAGGTAAGGAAACGCACTTTATGTAAAAAGAAATCCATTATTCAGCCTTATTTAAATGGTTCCAAACGGTGTTTTTTGTGCAATCTTTAGCTCTTAGGAAATCGAAACAATGCTTACATGACGGTCGCACCCGACAATGCTCGTGATTTTATTGACATTTCCGATAATTGGCCTTCCACTCCGTGAAGCATTTTTGACATCAAAATCACCGGAATGAAACATGAAAAAAAAGAAAATTGTGCATGATTGACTGTAACAGTAGCAAGACCATAAACGCTGCATACGTACGAGTGTGTGTTCAAAAAATATCGCGAATTTTTTTGTTTTTTCAAAAATTATTTATTTATTCATAAATATCTATTTTGTTCCCTTCAAAGCAATCCCCATGAGATATTATACACTTGTGCCAACGGTTTTTCCAATCTTCTAAGCACTTCAAAAAATCATTTATTTTTATCTTGTTCAGGTCCTTCTTCGATGACGTCTTTATCTCTTCAATCGTAGCGTAACGTCGTCCTTTCATGGGCCTCTTCAGTTTAGGGAACAAGAAAAAGTCACAGGTGGCCAGATCTTGGGAGTACGATAGCTGCGACATCATTAGTGTGTTGTTTTTGGCCAAAAAATCGCGCACAAGCTAGGATGTTTGTTCTTCCACAAATCCGGGCGTTCTGGCGGATTGCTTCGCTCAAATTGCGCATATTCCTTATTGACCGTTCTACCCTGTGGCAATACCATTTTCTCCACTTCATTAATTTTTTCGTCTGTTGTTGAAGTGCTCGGGCGTCCGGCACGCTCTTCGTCGTTCACATCTTCTCGGCCTTCTGAGAACATTTTGTACCACCGATAAACGTTGCTTCGGTCCAAGGTAGCTTCTCCGTATGCCACAGTCAACATTCGGAATGCATCCGCGCACTTAATTTCGTTTTTCATACAAAATTTGATACAGGTTCTTTGATCTATTTTTTTGAATAGGTAAAAATCGAAGACCATCCAAAACATGTGCAAGCAAAGCAGCTGTCAACAATTAAGTGAACATTCCAAATGGCCGAGCTTGTCGGCATAAGTGACAGACATGAGTACTAACATAACGCCACAAAAAAATCGAAATTCGATTATTCGTAACCCGCGAAAATTCAAAATTCGCGATACTACTTTTTGAACAGACTCCAATTTATCGGAATGAACCTGATAATTGGGGTTCCATATCAGTGAACCGTGGCATGTAACTTCATCAGTTTGCGGAATGGCTACATTGTTGAGCTTGATGATAGGGCATGTTTTCATTAACTTTTCTGCGCCACTTTGCTAGCCATTCTTCAATTAGCTGAAGATGCTGTTTTTTTTGTGGCTGTAATGGCGCATTTGTTATTATAGCAGTATCATCCTCAAATGTTGACGTAATTACTTTGTATATACAATAATGGAATTGTTCGTCGAGAGAGGACTTATTGGCAAGAGTGAGTTTGCGCTGGATTTCCAAGCTGGCATTGTAGTTGGTGTGCAAACGACATCTAAGTTAGGACTGTCAACAGTGACGTGGGAACGGAGTCGCGAATACGACTGTTTGCTTGACGACAGGAGATATTTCGTCTTGCCTTCGGAGTATCGACTACTAGACCCATGTTCTGGAGATAGCAAAGCTTTCTTACTTTCTTTATTTAGCTCTGCAGCTCATATTGTTTTCACCAGTCATGACTTAAAGCAATCACACGACGATAAGGGATCAAATTGTCTGAAACCTCATTTGGTATCGATCGGAGCTTTTTGGTGTTGCTTACCGTTAGTATACATACTTGTAGCCGTCTAAGTTTTACGGCTCGAGGCTGCTTCTTTTGGTGCAGTCGAGGGTTGCTCTAAAATTGATTGGTGTCCATCAACAAACATAAAAAAGGCTCGACATCGACGAAAAGTTGCAACCACAACGGTTTTCTACTCGATTTGGACTCCTGCTCTCTGAAAGCAATCAATCAGCTCGCTCTACGTAAGGGAAACGAAAATATTAGTTTTCGTAAAGGTCACAAAAACAACTGGTACTATGAGGATTGCTCTTGCACAGTGGTGTGAAAACAAGCTGCTTACGTCACAACGTGCGGAGGGGGACCGATAACGAGAATTGAAGAGGGAAGCAAGACGCGTGCACAAACAAGCAAAAAATACAGATACTTGAGTATGAACAGCTTAAAAAGCTGGCCGACAGGAATGACGCTCCAAATTCTACGAAAAGATGCGACGAACTACAAAAGATTTCTAGTCTGGAGGGAAAAGTTCCCCGGTTTGTTGAATGCCAATGCAAATGGTACACCAGGATATGGCAAAATCAATTCCCCAATTGATGACTAGAAAAGCAAATATTTCATTTTCTGAGTATAAAGAAAAGCGGATGGATTCCACACCGAGATGTATTCATCAGCTTCTTTGCAAAATATGGTCGTGTGAAAGCATGCTCGACCCATAGATTTGCTTCCTCTTAAGTTAAAAGTCTACACAATACATGCCTCTCGCAGCTTAGATGAGGTTTCAACTTATGTACATACATACTTACACATGTACATACATATTATATAGATGTGCTTGCTTAATTTCATTATATAATATTTGAAAAACAAATATCATATATTAATACTATTTTTAGGCGGTTCCGAAACAGATTTATGTACTTCCGTGCACAGATGAGCGCACATAAACTTAGTAATATACATTTATATACATACCTACATACATACATACACATTTCAACAATTTCGTTCGATCAGTGGAAAGTTTTTTAAGTTAATTTGAAAACAACAATCTTAATTGATAACGAAAATTTGCAGCAGCAACAGTGTCAAACAGAAGTATGAGCACCGGACTAAGGCGGATTTCATAGAGTGGAGCACATAATCTATTTTTAGCAAAATTATACATACTTATTACATTTATATTTCAAAAGATAAGAGAAGCTTTTTTTCTTAAAAAAAAAAAACAACACATGCAAGCGTGAGAGAAAGAGAGACAGAGAGGGTGAATACGGAGAGCATTATGCAAAATAATAAATATTATGACAAATTTGTGGTTCGGGCCGTGGCGGGAGTGAAAAAGAGGCTCGTCTCTATAGGCATGCAGAAATACGCAAAAAAAAGTAGTTTTTTCCTCATTATCAGTTGTCATAAAAATGTGAAATAATCAAAAAAACGTGAATGAATAGCAAAAACAATTAAGCAAAACACACAAGCGAGAAATAATCAGAGACCAATCAAGCAAGGCAGTCGGATCGCCTGCTGCTAAGCGTGTGAATACTGAACAGTTTCAGTCATATGGTAAAAGTGCTCGCGTAAAGTACTTTCAACGGAAAACGACGACGGAAATCGTGCGGAGCTAAGAAAATATTTAAAAGCGTACATACATACATATAATAGAATATACGTGCGTACAATAGAATTTGTGCAGCTTTTCTAAAAGGTTTAATTTGCGATTGTAAGTTGAAACTATTTTATTTAGTTTATTTAATTTTTTGGAAATTACTTTACATTTATCAAACTTCAAAAAAAATATATGTATATATAAAACTATATATTTTCATTAATTTCAGCAACTTTTCCACAATATTTCTCCACTCTCCACGATGTTCTCAAAATTTACCACGACCATGGCCGTGCGCTGTATGAGCGCTCAACAGCAAAAGCTCCAAACAAAAGTCGCACAGAAAGTGACATCACAACAAATTTTTGACCGTGAAAACAAATACGGCGCACACAATTATCACCCCCTGCCGGTGGCGTTGACACGTGCTGAGGGTGTTTATGTTTGGGATGTGGAGGGCAAACGTTATTTTGACTTTTTAAGTGCCTATTCGGCTGTCAATCAGGGTCATTGTCATCCAAAAATCGTACAGACACTAACGGAGCAGGCGAAAAAACTAGCATTGACATCCAGGTGAGTAAATATGTGCATAAATATTTATTTGATTGGTGTTGTCGCCAATGGGAATCAAATGACGCTGTGACATTTCGAAATTTAATTAGAAGGACTTTTATTTTAATAAAAAGACACTTAACAATTTCATCCCAAAAGTGCGTGGTACAAATCCCATGCAATTTTTTTTTAATTTAACTTAAATTGCACAAGTAAAGATAAAAAATCTAAATTTTTTTTACGGTGTCGAAAATAGACGTAAATGAAATGCATTAATGCAATTCTTTTATGATTATAAAGTTTGAATCTTGGCATTATATGTGAAACACAACATCATTCCAGCGAGTTTTTCAAAACTTCAAACCATTTGAGGTGGCTTTCGACCACTTTTTGACACTTATTGGGCCGTAAGTTAGCAAAAACTTGTAAAATGTTAGCTTTCAAGTGCTCAAGTGTTGAAGTTTTATTCCCTTCGTGTAAAAGTGTTCATAAAAAAAATGTGAACGATGTCAAATCGCACGATAGAGACCACGCGGCCGGGGAATTTCTCCCGCAGTAAAAGAATATTCGCTCGTGTGGCATCTTGTTGAAACAAACGTTTTGTTCAAGTCGTCTTCAGCAATTCGATTATAATTAGATCATAAGGCTGGACATTAACAGTGACAGTCTTGCCTATGTCGTTTTCAAAGAAGTAAGGTCCAATCGCACCTCCGAACCATAGAGCGAATCAAGCAGTTATTTGAGAATTCTTATAAGCAGAAATACGACAGTTTTGCTCATTTACGTACGACCCGAGTCAGAAATGTGCCTCGTCGTTGAAGAAAATTTTGTTCGCAAACATAAAAAAGTGCCTTGACAAAAGAATTCTCAAATCAGAAGTTTGCTTTTGAAAAATCCAAAATTATTGATTCGTTACTTTTTCAACAAATTACCACTGCGTTGTATTAATTTAATTTTGTTAGCATTATTTTGGTCCAATAATCAACTTACGTTAATTACTACATCATTATGAAAGCTTTATATGTTATGGATAGTCATAGGATTCAGACTAAATATTTGTTGATAACGAACTAACATTCAGATAGCCAGTGCTTGAGTCCTGGTCTGACAAACATCCAATAATAAAAAAAAATATATTTAAATTAATATCACGGCATCGGAGTGATTTTTTTACGTGAAATAAAAAAAATAATTCATCGGTCGTTCGGAGGCGACTTTGAATAAACAATGGAGGGATCTTTCAGATTTTCCAACCAAAATATATTATTCATTTCAATAGTTGAACAAAAAGACGTCATCAGAAGATATTTTTTTGAATGATCTTAAAAAAATAAATCTGTAAATAGAAATCTATCGAGCGGTTCTCGAGTTATCAGTTAAAGAAAGCGGCACTTAGCTCTTTGTTAATTTTCGAATAACTCGTGCAATATTTGTTGGGTTCTTTCAAATTTTCAGAGAATATTTTTAAGATAATATTCTAAAAAGGAAAAAAAAAATTAAAAATAGATGTTTTGAAAATTGAAATAACCCTTGCTGAAATTACTCCCAGCTCACATTAAAACGCGATTGGCATTAAGTTCTCCATTGACCTGGGTTAAAATTGTTTGGTATTATTTTTTAATCTTCTATTTCACCTGTGCGTTTACTCTATTTATGCAGAGTACCTTAGGAAATGTATATGAGTATTAAATTATGCCGAATTTGGTGGTAAGGTTTAAAAAATATTCAAAATAATGCACATGTTCCAAAACTACAACCCATACAAAAAAATTGATTTTTAAAAAATTATCATACATCGATCAACTTCAAATTGTTAACTTATGATGGGTAGATGGGTAGACTGAAGTGGGGACCGGTCATCAGCGCACTTAAGTCATCAAACGTGTCGATTCTATTACCACTAAGGATCCACCGAATATATGCAGTATGTAATCGTCGTATCTTAGCCCCATATTTAGTCTACTAAACTACAGCTGGCAAAGAAAGTGACTTTAGGATTCAGGTTTCTCTTCTTGTCCGCATCACATGCAGAAGTTGTTAGATCACACAACCAACCTCTCTGTTGTCTGCCCAATAGGACATGGTCTGTGGAGAGACCTATAACTATAGATCTCTTTTCTTTCTGGCGCGACAAGGTCATGTGATCTTCTTTTATACCATTCTGGCTACATTAGACGTTGTGGGATTTCTTAATCATTTTAAAAATCCGTTGATGAGAGTTATAAAGGATCATCATTTCGGCTTTGCTGAGCACCTGATAAGGGTGACATGCAGAACTACCAAGATCATATGCAATGGCAGCAAAAGCAAAAGCCATTTCTTGCTATTTTACGATGACGTAAAGGCGGCCGCGGTAGCCGAGTGGTTAGCATTGTGTACTAACAATCGGAAGGCTCGGGTTCAAATTCCCGTGCGACCAATATCCAAAGGTTATAGAAAATTAATTTAAATAAAACATTAAGTTAAATTTTCTAACAACGGTCGCCCCTGGGCAGGGAATGTCCACCCCTCTGAGTGTATTTTGGACATGAAATAAAGGCTTCTTTAAAAAAAAAACCATCCAATTTGAGGAGGAGCTCGGTCTAAAATCGCCTCAGCGGTTACAAAGCGCCTCAGCGGTTACAAAGCGCCAATTATATATAAAGGCTACAAGACCGTTATTGGCTTAATGACGGGCCACAACCTACTAACGTCCCAAGCGAATGGAACGCAGTTGGAAAGGCGTAAGTGAGGCATTAGAACACCTCCTGTGTTCAAAGGATAAGAGGAGACTTCAAAACGTTCTTTTAACGTTCTATTCGACAATCACTTTAAATCACAGATCTCCATCTGGCCTGCAAAGTACCAGTGGGTCTATGTAAGGGGCATCAGCCCTAACCTATATTAGGACGGATATTACACAAATAGGGAATACTTTAGATTCAATGAAAATGTTTCAGTATAAGAATATCTAAGTATCATATATTTGCTAGATTGAAACTGTCTTGGATTTCTAAGCTAATATTATTTTCGGTTGTCACGGTAGACGGCATTGTCACGAATTACGAGGTAATGACTGTCAAAAGTGCATGGTCTGAGGTTATCCATTTCTTTATTTTATGGTGATGATGCCTATAACATGGAAAAGGATTGTCTTGTCATGTAAAATACGAAATTGAGTACCAAAGAAAAAAAGGTAGAAAATGTAAAAAAAAAATGTAATTCGATTTTCGTTGTTCCATGGATTAGGGTTTCGCTTTGAACAGAAGCACATATTATAATAACAGTTGCAAAACTAAACTCAAGAATTATTCTTTACTGGAATCGTAGGCACACTTGTGTAATTATAGCTCAAAAAAGAGAGAACGCTTCCAGATAAATGGTTCACTAAAGTCTTATTGGTCGGCTTAAGAACAAACGGCTCGCTATATAAATGTGTTTCGAGACGACATAAAAATTACTTTTGTAAATAAATAATTCCTCGGGTTTTCCATAAATATGTTCAAATAAATTATTTATTTTATTATTTACGAAATTTTTGAAGTATGTTATACTATTTAACTAAGCCAGAAATGCTTTAAAATACTCAGTTCAATAAGCAATGAATTTAATCTACATATGTATGCATATACATAGTACATACATATGTCCATATGTATTATTTTTGCACGTGTTCTTAATTAAGCAAAACAAAATTTTGTGCGTTACCAGGTAAAATAGTTAAAAAAAAAGTTAAATAAATAAGTATATTTGAAACATACTTATTATAAACTTCTATAGTATACATATGTGCATATGTATTTGTTTTTAAGGTGTTGATATCGCATATTACAACTTATTAGAGTCGTGGATAACTGATAACCCTATAAACTGACGCGCGACTAGTATTTGAATTTTTTATTGTTTATATTGCTTGTATACGTTTACAAATAATGTATGCTTATAAGGGTGTGTATGTATGTGGAAAAAACTTTCCACCGCGCATTGTAAGTGTATCAATACGGCTGTATCAATATAATCAACAAATATTTATATAAATATGGTAGCTGCGCATATACAACTCATGCCAGTGTTGCCAGCATTTTTTTTTACGATCCAACCAAAGGGCTCTAAAAATTAAGCCAGCAATAACTAAATGTAAAGCCAACAAATTCAATTGTTTTTTTATACTTAAAATAAATTAAAGTTAATTCTTCTACCAGATAAAAATATCAATAATCTAATTCGTTCGCGGCTACGTTTTCTGATATATTTCAAAAAAAAAATAATTTTTGTTTTGACATAAATATTTTTAAAATTTTATGTCAATCAGTTTTCGAGTGATGTTTATACCTTATTGATATTTTCATTATGATTTACTAAAATTCTTTGAATTGGAAAAAACTATGAAAATAGTTATGTAAATATTTCTAAAATTTTAAGCCGAGCGTGAATTATGTGTTTTCAATCCGAAACCACAGGAAAACTTTCTCCATTGAGATGCTGTTATGTCATAGATCCATCGAATAATAGATAAATCTCCAACAAGTCTTTTACGAAAATGTCAATATGAATGCCTCGAAGTGAGCCAAACGCGCCACCATTCTGATCTATGCTCATGCTGCAACTACCCGTCTAACACACCTTCTGTCCACAGCAATCTAGCTTATGAGAGTGCCATGTAAATATAAATTTGTCACCGCTTGCCCATGCCGTTACTGACGGTTGTCCGGCAGATACCAGCGGCGATTTGCTATTTTCCCTAAAACCGGCTCGGCTCATTTCTCGTTGCTAAACAAGGTTGCCAGTATTCACTTGTTTAAACTAGTATTAAATAAACTAATAAAATGCATATTTTTTTCAAAAGAAATGAGAACTAAATTCGTGATTAATTATTTATCACCATATAGATTATTTATATTTGTTTGGCGTTTATATTCGAACATAAAAATTATGAAATTTGTTGACGAAATTTATAAATTTGTTCAAAAGTGTGCAAACACACGCGTCGATAACGCGTGTATGTATCTCGCTCTTCCAGTCGGCTGTTTTCGACGGATGGT